TGGATGCAGAGGGACAGGAAACGAGAGATAGAGTCAAGTTACTAAAGGAAAAGATGAATCTTTGTCTTAAGCTTGGAGGTTCCTCATACAAATCTCTGGACAACCTGGTTACTTACATGTTATCTTTGTAGTGAGTAAATTTGTCTTCGCACTGGCTTCCTCAAGGAACATCAGGCCAAGGCATTTAATTTGATTGCCATTGGTTCTTTTTTCTGGTTAATTTCTTCTCCAAGCTTTATATTTAGCCTATCACTAAGCTCAAGTTACTAGTAGTAGTAGACTTGAATTGTTATACAGGTCTTAACAATCACATTCACATCAGATGTAAGATGTTGGGTATCACAATCCCATCCACTCAAATCCTTGATGTCCTCATCAAGGTCACACATCACATTCACAGATCAAGATCTCACCAGAATAATGTGAAAGCTTACATCATACTGGCGCAAGCTTTGATACCATTTGTGATGATCCAAATCCAACCATTGGCTCAGTAGTTTTTTGGGCCTAAATCACGTAACTCTTAAAACCTTAAGCTCAAATTACTAATAATAATAAACTTGAATTGTTATATAAATTTTAATAATCAATCACATTCACATTATGTAAGATGTTAGATATTATAAAAAGAATGCAAATTAATGCTACACAACTGCGGCTTTAAGCAAGACAAAAGGCAACATGTCAGTAGCAGAATGAGAAAGTAGAGAGAAGTCTTTGGTGAAGAAAAGCCAAAAGCTAAAAGCCATGGATGCTTTTTCTTCTTTTTGTTTTCTTTCATGGAAATTTCTCACAAAGTGCAGGCATGCATGGCTGTATGCAGTGGTCAAGCTGAAAGACAAGAAGAAAAGTACCCATGTATGAGCTGTTCTCGACCTTCAAAATAATATTAGAAAGAGACAATGCATATGGTCTTGGTTTCACCAGTATATTTTTCCATGCAGACGCCATTTTTAACTTTGAAAAGGAAATTAAACTTTTATTCATATACTCAAAAATGGCACTTTTGTTGCCATTGCCAAGCATCTAGGTCTCTTACCCACCTCTATTAAAATGTCAATATACATTAATTTTATGCATAAAAACTTTGACTATTAATTAATCGGTTTTAATCTTTATCCAACAAATCCCAGAACATTATAATTATTAATTTTAAGATGTGAAATTCCTGCTTAGGTGTTATTTTGATATAAAGATACTATTTTTATTTATTTTTTAAAAATAAGTGAGAAATGAAAAAGTAATAAATAAATGAAAGGGGAGAAATTTCGATTAATGGATTAAAACAAAATTTTGGTCCATTTGATTAACTTTTATAACATGTTTGGTTAATTTGGTTAAGACTAGCTCTAGGCTTAACATCGAGACATGGGTCATACACACTGTCAAATGATTCATACAGGGTCGTTAATGTAATACTAGAAATTCTGGACATGTTGAAATGATAAACAACCTGTTAATCTTAATGGTTGGGTTTGATCATCGGTTACCATAGTCAGAATCCCAAAGAAAAAATATTGCATCAGATTCATCAGACCACAAATGACACAACATATCCCATGTTTCTGCATCAGCAATCGGGCAAACTAATGTCTCATATTCGGTTTTGTAGGCCACAATTTCCAAGATTTCCCATTCATGCCTGGTAGTACTCCTCAAGCCTGGCAGTTCTTGTAAGGTACGAGACTAGGAGTAAACCATACGGACCTGGAATGATAACAAGGAGAGTGAGGACCCAATTCCAGACGTTCGATTTTCTTGCTCTCCATGTCAAATACACCAATGTCATGGCCTACTAACGTCTGTTCTTCTCCTCTCACCTGTTGATCCCAATTGTTGTCTGTCAAGTATATACAGTTGCTTCTGCAAATGGGGATTTTGGCAGTGCAAATTGACCAAGAATTGCCCTCTCCAACGAATAATGCCCAATCCCCCAAGTGGTTTAATCTCAGCCAAGTCCCTAGATTGCCATCGATGGCGGGGTGAAGCATGTAGACCAAGAACCTTTTTGTCTCATACCTCTGCTCAAAAGGAGTGCTGAATGAAAATCGGAAAACCACCAAAAGTTTTCCCGATGACTCCAGAAGATATATTTCTTCAACTCTAGAGACATCTTCAGGATGATAGGCAATAAACCTTGGTGTAGATTCAGGGTCATCAGAACTAAAGCGCAGAAAGCCTCCTTTCCCACAAATGGCATGGATTTGGCCCTTGAAAAGAAGAATATCTTTGAAACCATCGGCACTGACAACGGTCGTCCATCCAACAAATCCAGGTTTAGCAAAAGCCAAGCTATGCTTTGGCCCAAATATCACCATAACAAGAAACTCATCCTGGGAGTGGGAGGGGGAGGTCTTGAGTAGAATGCATTTGTGAATGAAACGAAAGGGATCAACAGGCACAAGCACACCTTTTGGTTCCGAAGGGTGTTTAATTGTGGAAGGCTAAGTTGAGCTTGCGAGAGCGGGTGTAAAAGGTGAGCTAGTAGATCACGATCCATGGTCACAATCCAGCCATGAGGAGAACCATGACATCGTTTCCATGAGCCTGGGTAGCTCTAGTTCATAAAGCTTGTTTCCGACCAGCACTATAAAAACTTTTGGTGGACCTGTTCTCTCTTTCAGAAACATGAGCCATGGAAACTGATGGCGTGGTCCGCAGCGCATGTTTAAACAAGCAGAACGCCATGGACGACAGACCCCTGATAATGCGACGAAATCTTCAAAAGATGTTAACCGATTACTGATTTTTGAAATGACATCGTCAGGGAGTTCGGGAAAATTAGCTCTTGATTTAAGCAGCAGTTGAAATAATCTATAGAAGTCCTTGTCGTTTTTCTGTAGCACAAGAACTACTATTTTTTCTCTGAAAGTTAGCAGAAGAACTAGCGTAGCTAATATAATCATTAATGTAAGGATCTCAAATACCTTTAAGCAAAAGAGTGAAACACAAGGAGATTTACAATATTTTCCGCGGGACAAAATGCAGTAGGAGAAAGTAATTGGTTGATCATCTGTAAGTTGAAACGGCAACCGTAACAGTGCGGCCGGAAAGATCACGATCGAAACCAGTAAAGGTAAAAAGTTCTTCCTTTTAATTGTAAAGGGGAAGTTACCAAAACTGGTTCTTATAAAAGGTAGAAGTATCTCCTGCCAAAGACGTAATATAGTTATAACCAAAACGATCTCAATTTCCTTTTTGCAAAAGGGTGAAACACAAGGAGTCAAAGAATTACAAGCTTTCCAGGCGGACAAAAAGTAGCCGGAGGAGGTAGCTGTCTGATCATCTGTAAGTTCAAACAACACGGATAACAGTGCGAGAAAGACCTGAACAATCTGAGCGATCGACACCAGTGAAAATAAGAAGTTCTTCCTTTTAGATGTGGAGGAGAACTTGCCAAATTTGGTTCTTAGAAAGGGTAGAAATTGGTTCCAGAAAACAAACATTTTGGGGACTCTAGTGGGAGAGAGATAGAAAGTCGTCAAAACACAGAGGGTAGAAATCAAGTGTTGAAGTTGGCTTCAGTTACTGTAACTAGATTCAATGTCAATACTGTTTTTTCTTTATGTTCCTTGTGTATAAGTTCTGTGCTAAGCAACATCTTGCTTAATTTCTTCGGATGTCATCAACCCTTTTAATAACATATAATCCAAAATTTAAAATCTAAAGAATATCAATTTCCTGCATAAAAACTTTGACTTCTAATCAGTCATTCCTTGTCTTCATCCAACAAATCCCAAAATATTGTTAAGCTCATTAAGATACAAATTGAGGTAGTAGGTTAGACTTTGTGAATCCTTATTTCTTTCACAGATTCTGCTGATGGCTGTTTTTGTGAGCCACTCAAAGGACAGTAACTTGACTGCTCCCTTTCAGTTGAGTGTTGCCTTTCTTTTGTAAATGAAGGGGTCCATCCTTCTTTGAAATGAATCTAACTTAATTTGAAAAAAAGAAGAAGTCAATTCTAGATAAAAGAATGCAAATTAATGCTACACAGATGTGGCCTTAAGCAAGACTGAAGGCAATAAGTCAGCAGCATAATGAAATAGTAGAGAGAAATGATTGCTAAAATTGAAGCTCAGGCTCATAAATCATTAGTGAAATGGTGTGGTGTAAAAAAGCCAAAAGTTAGAAGCCATGGGCATCTATCTTCTATTGCAATTTCTCACAAAGTGTATGTATGGCTGTGGCTGAAAGACATGCAAAAAACTCACCCAGACTGTGGCTGCTCTTAATCTTTCTCAATAATGTAGTACAACAAGCCCATTATTAGGGAGGTCAATTCTGCACTTAAAAATGGAGAAAGGTACAAAGCAATAGATGGTCAGACTCCTGGCTGTGGGGTTTCCAATTTCAACTCATTGATCTTCGAGAACAACATGTAAATATTTTTGGTGCTGTTCTAGAAGAGTGTTTTGAATCAGAAACACAGTACCCAGCTTTGGAAAATGTCACAATGACTTTTCTGTCAAATCTTATCAATTGACTGCTGTCATTTAGTAATAGTTATCTGCTTCATTAAGTCTCCTAATTTATGTTGGAATGGTTTACCTGTAACTAAATTAAGTCTAACTAAAACACTACTATTGTAAGATATACATATATATATATATA